GTGCCAAAGTGGGACTTTCTAATTTGATTTTGGGGACAGGGTTTCTGTGTAGCGCCAGGTGTCCAGGAATACACTTTGTAGACCAGGCTGGACTCGAACTCAGAGACCCACCTGCCTCTGCCTCCCAAATGCTGGGATTAAAGGGGAGGGCCGCCCTGCCCAGCTCAAAGCGGGACTTTGAGAGTTAGAGTGGGGGCTGGGGTCATTGTCTTCTGGTGCTCAGCTGGGGTTAGGGACTAGAAGGGCCACAGGAGCAGATTCTTAGCTCTCAAACAGTTTCGATCTCTGCAGCCCAGATCTTGGAGGTGATGGCATGGGGTTTAGAGCTGCTGTCTTGGGTTGAGGGCTCTGAGTGCAGGCTGAATTTAGGAAGCAGGAGGGAATTCCTGAGCTGGGTGGGGCTTTACAGTCAGGTAAGGAACAAAGACCAGGGTGAGAATAAGGCTGGTCGGAAGCTTCGAAGGCAGGTGAAGGTTACATCCTGTTCGCCGAGCAACGTGTTGTCAGTGATTACAGGCTGGGTGCTAAAAGCCCCAGCAATATCTTCGAATTTTATTGCTCCTTGGAGATGCTGTGATTGGGACGTGACAATCGTTTTTTATCGTTTCTTTCCCTTACTTTCACAGGAGACTCCAACCAACGAGTTGAGCGTCCAGGGCCCCCCCGAGGGGGACACGGACCCATCAACGCCCCCAGCGCCCCCGACGCCTCCCCACCCCGCCACCCCAGGAGATGGGTTTCCCAACAACGACAGCGGCTTTGGTGAGGGGCAGAGCCCACGGCTGGGCTGCGGAAGGGCGGGGCCTTATGGAATGGGCGTGTCCTGTAGGGAGGGCGGGCCTAGGAAGGAACCTGGAAGAGGAGGACGGAGCCCGGGAGGGCATCCAGCCTGGGAGGAGCTCGGGAAGGCGCGTCCTGGTAGAGGCGCGCGGGGCCGGGAGGTGTGGTACGTGGGAGGGGCGGGGCCTTGCTGGAGGTGGACTGAAGTCAGCCTTGGCTGGTCTGCGAGACTGGGGTGTCTAAGGCTGGTCCACTCTTTCCCTAGGCGGCAGTTTCGAGTGGGCGGAGGATTTCCCCCTCCTCCCCCCGCCCGGGCCCCCCCTGTGCTTCTCCCGCTTCTCCGTCTCACCTGCGCTGGAGACCCCGGGGCCTCCCACCCGGGCTCCCGACGCCCGGCCCGCAGGTACAGTGCTTCCCGCTGGCCCCTGCCCCAAGCCCTCCCCAGTCTGCCCTCGCTCGCCTCGCCCGTCTCATAATGTTCCCGTCGCTCTCTTTTCTGTCCCTCCACCCAGTCATACTGACACCTCAGGTCAGACCAGTTGGTTCCCATTCACAGGCTTGGGTGGCTACATCCGTCTCTTAGCCTCAGTTTCTTCTCCAAGGATCCCCACCCGCGCGCTCTCCTGCCCATTTCTGAGCTCAGACACCTTGCTGGTCTCCATCTCCTCTCCGAGGGCGTTTAAAGCCCGCAGAGGATGTGGTAGACCCCCAGAGACAGGAGTCACTGTAAAGGCAGCGAGCTCACAGCGACGGGCCACTTTGCCGCCCGCCCAGTCCTCACTGCGTGACTTAGAGGAGGCACTTAGCGTGTAGAGCTGGCCCTGTGCGCTGCCCTCTCGTGGTTGGCATCTGCTGAGTCCTTGTGCTCCTGGAACCACTCTTCCTGCTGGCCACCAAGTTGAACGCCCAGGATTGGCCCTCTCTGCCTCAGCGCTCTCATCCATAGAATGGGAATGATAGTGGATTATGCTCCTGAGTGTTATGATGGACACTCAGCCTGAAGCTTGTGTGATGGTGTCCCTGACTCAGAGCTGTGTACAACTTGCATAAAGACTGGAGGCAGTAGTTTTTAGCTAGTTCAATGAACAGAAGACAGGCCAGGGTACCTGAGGCTTCTGAGGGTGCAGAGTCAGAGTGAGGTGAAGGAAGGGACAGATTTTTTAAATTTTTTAAAAAGAGATTTATTATGTATACAGTGTTCTGCCTGTACTCCACAGGAGAGCACCGGATCTCATTACAGATGGTTGTGAGCCACCATGTAGTTGCTGGGAACTGATCTCAGGACCTCTGGAAGAGCAGTGACTGCTCTTAACCTCTGAGCCATCTCTCCAGCCCAACAGATTATTTTTTAATGATTTTATGTGCATTAGTGTTTTGCTTATATGTATGTTTGTGTGAGAGCGTAGGGTCTCTCAGAACTGAAATAACAGACAGTTGTGAACTGGGTGCTGGGAATTGAACCCGGGTACTCTGGAAGAGCTGCCAGTGCTCTTAATCACGGAGTCATTTCTCCAGCCCCAGGATGGGACAGATTATAAATGACCCGTGGCCTGGTGTGATAAATGCCTTTAATCCCAGCACTTGGGAGGCAGAGGGAGGTGGATCTCTGAGGTCGAGGCCAGCCTGGTCTACAGAGTAAGTTGCAGATCAGTCAGGGCTACACAGAGAAACCCTGTCTCGGAAAACTAAAATATATAGTAATAATAATTAATAAACAAATAAAGGACTTGGACTTTGCCTGAGGATGCTAGTAAACCCTGAAGGATTGTAAGCAGGGGAGGGGCTGTGGACTGAGGACGGGAGAAAAATAGAGAATGGGCAACTGGGGAGAGGCTAGTGAGTGAGCTAGGCACAGGGAGATAGAAGCAGGAAGACAGGAAGTCACCCCAAATGTTACTTCCTGACCCCTCCATCTCAGGACCCCCAGGGACACTGGGCAGGGTGTGGGAAGTCTACCTAGATAGCGAGTCAGGGCCACGCTGGCGGGATGACCTCATTGCTAGTCACCAGGAGTGGAGATGGAGGGCCCAGTGGTAGGAAGCCCCAAATCCTTGGCTGCTATCACAGATACTCCCGACAGGCGTGGGTGAGGAAGCTAAGCATGTCTGTCTCCCCAGACCACTGTAGTTCCCCTGGGCACTTGCGTGGGCTCCATCACCAGGTTCCAAGTGAGGAAATCATCCCGTGCACTTTGAAAAGGAGGGTCACACTTTCCACTCTAGGAGGAAATGGGCTCTGGCACCTCACCTTGGCCAGACCCCCAGCTGTTAGCACAAAAGTGTTAAGGGGGCTGACGCTGTCCCACTGGCCCCGGTGCTCTAGATCCAGAGACCGAGTCAGGCTGCCAAGGTGTCTGGGGAGGCTGGAGGATGGTCTGCCGAATATTGTTGGTGAAGGCACTGTGTGACAGACTGGCATTGGAGGTACAGACAGACACAAGGTTCTTCCACAGTAACTGGAATGAGAGACATTAATACTCAATACCAGGGTGGGTACCCGAGGGAAAGTTGAGGAAGCAAATGAAAGCCCAGGATGTTCAGAATGGCTGTGAAAGGTCTCTAAAGGGGGACCTGAGTTTCCTGGGAAGAGCATTTTAGACACTGGGAACGGCAGATGCAAAGACCCTGGGCTATATTGGTACGTGGAACATTTGAGGCCAGTGTTGCTGGAGCGAGGACAGAGGGCGGGATGGGCTTGGTCCCACTGCCGGGCCTTCACCTTGGATGAGTTAGAAGCCATAGCCTGTCTCCTTGATGACTCCCACCCTTTCTCTACTCTTTTTATCCTCAGGCCCCGTGGAGAACTGATTCCCCAAAGACCCAGTCCCTTTGCACCCCAAGAAGAGGGTTTGCGAGCAGAATCTTGTGTGGACGATGGAGCCATTGCCCCTGACACTGACACAGCCTCTGGGGAGGCGCCTGAGGCTGGGCCCTCCCCCTCCTCCACCACGTGCCAAACAGGAGGCCCAGGCCCCCCACCCAGCCCCCCAGATGGGTCCCCTGATCCCCCTGACCCCCTCGGAGCCACATGAGGCAGGAAGCCCCATCGCTGGATAGCCACTCTTGGAACTGAACTGAACTCTTTTGGGCTCGGAGACCCTGGCACAGCGGCGGTCCCTCCTGACCTACCCCTGGCCTCATGAGGGCCACCGGCTTCAGGAACCTGGGCCCAATCCTGCGTCCCCCTCACCCCCAAGCCTGGCCCCTGGAGGGGTCTCTGATTCAAACCTTCGCGTGACATTTTCACATTATTTAAAAAAGACAAAAAAACAACTTTTTGGAGGAAAATGGGGCCTCTGTCTGTTTGGGGAGGTGGGAATGAAGTCCCTGAGGCCCTAAGGCGAGGTGCCCAAGCAGCGGTGGGGCTTGCCAGCCTCTCCATTCCCTGTACTGGGTCTGCTCCTTACAGCCCCTGGCAGTGATGGCAGCCTCAACTTATGAGGAGTCACTGACGGCTTGAGATCAAGCAGTTGTGGTAACCATGTTCCTGCAGGTTCTGGAAACTGTCACAGGGCAGGCCAGGTGGTGGTGGTGGGAAGGAGCTGGGAACTGATTTGATGAAACTCAGCTGAGTCATCTGCTAGCCACTGCCTGCCTGCCTGCCCACATGGGCCTGTTTACTCACATCTCCTGGGCACGCACACAAACACTGTCTCTGTGTGTGCGCGTGCGCGCACCCCTGGCCCTGGACAGTTGTTCTTTGCCTACATGCTCCTCCTGTTCCTCTGCCTCTAGTTTCTTCCCATTTCTGTGCTCTCCCGTGGCGTCTCCCTGTGCTTCTCTCTGCCTCAGTTACCCACGGGGCTTTGTCTGTTCCCTCCCTCCCTCCCGTGGCTGCTGGTTCCTTAGCCTCTCTGGTTAGGCTGCACTAGGGTTCCTCATCCCGCACACTTGGGGGTCAGATTTTTTGGTACATTTGCATGGTGGAAGAAGGCAGAACAAGGGGCAGATTTGAGCAGGGTGGTGTACTCTGGTTTATAAAGTGATAGGGTATAGGGGTCACAGGAAAACCCTGCAGTGGGGTACACTCTCTCACCAAGGGACCACTGCCTAGCAATGGTAACACACAGACATGCCAGTCCTGGTTGGGAGGGAATCTTGGTAGTAGGGTGAATCAGGTCTTGACGTCCTGGTTCAAGGAATGAAAGTTATAGCCCTAAGAAAGAGCTAGGGCTAGGGCTTCTTTTTTTTTTTTTTCTTTTGGTGTGTGTAGAGAGGAAAAGGAGGGAGAGATTGGCTCTCTGTGTGGCCCTGGCTGTCCTGGAACGCACTCTGTAGACCAGACTGGCTTCCACCTCAGAGATCAGACTGCTTCTGCCTCTGCTGAGATTAAAGGCACAAGCCACAACGCCTGGCCAAGGCCAGGACTTTTAGGTCTGAGGGAAAAGGCTTGTGGCCTGAACTGTTGGGAGAGGGAGGAGAGTGAAGACCAGAACTCCTGGTGTGAGAGGCTCATATCCTACCCAGTTAGGGAGCAAGGTTGGAGTCCCAATTTTCTAGTTTGAGAGAGGGCTGGGGCCAGGCCCCCTGTATCTGAGGGTCTGGATCCTGTCTGAGGGAGGAGGCTGGGATCAGGACCCCTGGTCTGAAGGAGGGGACTATTTCACTGGCACCTGTCCCACAAACTCATATTCAGTGTCTTCAACCACAGAAACTTACTGCTTCACAGTTTTGGAGGCTAGAGGACCAAGACCACCGACATGAGTATCTGGGAAAGTCTTCCGTGGTGTTGCCAGCCTGCCTCAGGTAACCGTTGGCACTCCTTGTTTGTGCGTTACCCTGCTCTCGGCACCCGTCTCCACAGCACCCTGTGGCCCTGGCTAAACACCCACGTTGGGGGGGACTTGTTGTATGTGTATGGTGTGCTGGTGGGCACTGGGGGAGGCTCGGTCTGTCTCTGAGGACACCCCCCCATTCTTGGCCTGAAGGGTAGTTTAAAGCGTTCTGCTATCGGACTTGAGTATTCCATAGACACTGCCGCTTCGTTTGGCCATTTCCTTCAGGTCCTCAGTCAGGCACTGCCAATCATCCCAGCCCTGGGCCCGTCACAGTGGCTCCTCCATACTCAGTCCGGCTCCCATTCACTGGGTCACCGAGGCCTACAGACGTCTCCACTCTTGCTTGCGTTCAGATCATCCTGACCACTTCTGTTAAGCACACTGTACTCCCGCCTCATCTCTTAGCCACAGCTGCACAACCTGCTCTTGCCTCTACCTTACACCTGCTCATGTCGGCACCACTTGCCAGGCAGTGATCCTATGGCAAGCAGAGCCCTCCTGCCAGTGTTTTCCTAAGCGCCCATGTCCTTGTCACCCTCAATTTGTGAGAGCACACCATCCAGCTCAAAAGCACCGCCTTCCCCACCAATCCAAACCCCTCCTGTCTGTGCCAAGCAAATCTGGTCCTAAGATGGGAGGGACAGGGGACCTAAGTTAAGAGACAAACAGTGCCTCTCTGCTGCCCAGTCACCATTCCCACGTGGTGGGTATTAGGTTCAACCCACAGGTCAAAGGGTGGCTAAGAACCTCTGAAATGTGGCGCACACCTTTAATCCCAGCACTCAGGAGGTAGAGGCAGGTGGATCTCTGTGAGTTTGAGATCAGCCTGGTCTACAGGAGCTAATTCCAGGACAGCCTCCAAAGCCACAGAGAAACCCTGTCTCGAAAACAACAATGACTCATTGCCCAGTGCTTTTCTGACCTTTTGGGTGTTGCTGGAAATTCCGCTTTATTTGGGAACCTCCATCTCACACCAGCTCCCAGGGAGGAAGTGAGTAGTTCGTGCCTCCTTCCCAACTTGAAGGTGAACTCCAGAAAAACACAAGACTGCCTTTGTCTAGTGACACAGTCTGAGTCACAGAGTCCACTAGACTTGAATGCTCCTACATTACCTACATCAGTGCTGTTGGCACAGACACAACAGGTGTAGCTGAGGGAAGGCAAGACAGAAACCCCCAACAGGAATCTGTAGATCCAATACACACCCTCTGGAATCTCAATTCCCAGAAGGTCACAGGGTAGCATCCTTCCTTCCCAGTCAGGCCTGCATGCTAAAGCATGCTGGGAAGCGGTAATTCTGCTAGAAATACCACTCCAGGGCCAGTGAGGTAGCTGGCAGTCTATAATGCCAGTACTAGGAGAAGGCTGGATTCAGTGTAAGGTCACCGGGCCAGGAAAACAAAAACAACAAGCTTCTTGGCCCCAAAGGTATGCAGCAGGCACTACTTTGTTCTCTGGGGTCAGTTGGGGACTTAGCATTGCCACCTTCAGTAAGATTCTCTCCCATGAGTCAGGACACAGATGCCCAGGCCTTTCGCAAAAATCACCTCTGGAGGCTGATTCAGGGGTTGGGAGAAGCCACTGCCACCTCCGGGGCTATCCCACGCACCTCACTGCCAGTTCCTAGTGCCTAACACAGGGTCTTCTCTGGACTTCGTCCCCGTTGTTCTAGCCCTGGTCTCCCCTGCCAAGTCCCCCAATGACCAGAGGCCCCACAAAAACAGCCCATCTTGAGGGTGTGCTGTACTGCAATACATCCACAGGGTTTGAGTGACTTATCTGGGAAGCCCCTGCCTTCCACCTAGGGTCCTGGCTTATGTCAAGAGGATGGGTTCTCAGCTCTCCCAACCCCAAAAAATGAGGGCATCTGCAGGCGCAAAGGGTTAAATAATTAATAAGATTACCAACATGTTAATTACAAATAAGGAGACAGGAGCTAGAGGTGATTTTCCAAATGGGGAACCAACCAGGATCCACAGCCCCAGGGCCCAGGGGTCCTGCCACCCAGGCGGGGCAGCTCCAAAATAAATAATGGAGTTGGGGTCAGGGGTCAGGGTTGTTCCTGCTTCTTCTTCACAGAAATCCGCTTCTTTCTTGCTGCCAGCATCTCGTAGAAGGGGTCCACACTTACAGCAGCCCTGCAAAAAGGGGTGTGATTAGGACCAAGGGTGCAGGCCAGCCTCCCGCTGGCCCACGCTAGCCCGGGCTTACTGGATGGACTTGATCCACTCATCTTTCTCCTCCTGTGTGGGCGCTGAGATCCGGTACACCATGTGGTTCCCCTCCACTACCCGACCGTCTGCCTCCGTTTTGCAGGCTTTGATGAGCTGCCCCTTATTGTTGGGGATGTAAAGCTCAAAGCAGTTCTAGGACACAGAGTGGACAGGTAAGAGCAGCCGTGGGCCAGGACGGGGAGGTGCAGGCTTAAGGGCGCCTCCTGAACCTTACCGGCTTCCGAGGGTCATCCACCTCCCGGATGCTCAGGTTCTCCAGGGGGATGATCCCTCGGGGCTCCTTGTCCTAGGCAGCGAAGTCAAAGTTCAGGTTCCACGGGCGCCCTGACCCTCCCTGCCCGGAATCTTAGCCCATGTCTGCAAGCTCCACCCTCACCGTAGTGTACTCAAAGTAGTAGAGGCAGTTGTCTGTAAGGATGAACCAGCGCCGCTTCCAAGTCTTCACCCGGCCCCCTGCAAGGGAAGGGGTGGGAGGGGCCGGGCTCAGCGGGGAACCGCTGGGGGGGAGCAGAGTGGGGAAAGGTAGGGCTCTTAGGTCTAGGACAGAGGCAGTGAGGGAAAAGACAGGCAGGCAAGGACAGGCTGCTGGGGCCCCAGGAGTGGCACCCCTGCTTGGGCTGCAGGTTCTGGCTCTTCTATTGGCACAAGCCCAAGCCCCTCCCCCTGGGCCAGGCCAGGGCAGCCCCTCCCTATCTGATGGGGGTGGGCAAGGACACCAGGTACCTACCTCCTGGGGCAGACAGCGAGAAAGCAGGCAGGACCAGGTGTGGAAGGGAAGGCGGAGGGATGGGGTGCCCCCAAGAATCGCAGCGACAGAAATAGAGGGTCAGGGAAGGGATGCACAGGGGCCAGAGCCACAGCAAGAGAACAGGCAGAGGGGAGGGGGAGAGAGGAAGAAAACCAGTTACATCCACATGGGGAGGAGCCAAGGCCTCCCCCTGCCCACAAGTTCCTGACCTCCAGGCTTCAACCTTTCCCATAGGTGCTCAGCCTAGCCAGAATGTCCCCTGAAAACACATGTTCCCTGACGCTCTACCACAACCAAAGAGGTGGGGGTGGGTGGTCTTAGCTGTGTGATCTTAGGAAATCCCCGGCACTCTCTATTCCAGCCTGGAGACACACACACATCGTGTCTGCAACAAGAAGGCCTACTGTGGCCTGTGAATGAGCAGTACCATGCTCCCAGCGCCTGGATGGTCAGGGTTAACCCATGACACTCCTGCCCTTGTGTCTCAGTGGCAGGCACATCTGAACCTCGTTTTCTTAGCTCAGAGCCCCATCTTGGGGGAAGCTGCCTTCTTGCTCTTCTCTCTAAAGCCCAGGGAGACCACTGTGGTGCTGGGGAGCCTGATCTTCTGTGATTCTACTAACCTCCCTGCAGCTACAAAGGGGCCAGGGTCAGGGTGTCACCAGGTCAGGGCCTTGTACAGCCCGCTACAGGGCAGTACCGCGAGTGAAGATGAAACCATCAAGCACAGTTCAGTGCAGGCCCTCAGGCCTGGAGGGCTACTGAAGCCACTGCTTACAGAGCCCAAGGGAATCCAGGCCCGATTCTAATCTGGGTCCTCACTGCCTCTGAGCAGTGACTCTGCAGCCTTTACACATCAACAGCCCAACCCCAAGAGACACCCAGCCGTACTGTAGGTCATCTGGGGAGCTGTAATGGCCACTAATGGCTGGCCTAGACCCAGATCCTGCCTGCTTGAGCCTAGGGTCCTCAGGGTTCACACAGTGCCGCTGAGTGCTGACAACAATTCTCCTGGTCACAACAGCCACCTCTTGGGCCTTGGATGATTGAGCCTTTGGTTAATCCATGGTGCTACATTACACATTTCAACAAGAACAGCCTGCAGCCTCCCTTCCCACCTGGGAACTCAAGAGCCATCCACATGACTATTCCTACTGCTGATCTGTTCTCTCCTCAGCCATGCTTCAAACCTGCAGTTATCCCTGTCTATGCTGGCTCTCCTTGGGCTCACTGACGTTCACCTGGCTGCTGAACATCTGACCTTGTCCTCTGCCTGAGGATTTTACTGAGGGAGCTAACAGCCTGGTGCATCCAGCCATGACACAGAAGGCTCAGGCATGAGTAGTCGGGGGCCAGGAGCACTTAATAAAGGCCCAGCAAATAAAGTCTACTCTTGTTTTCAGCCCTATAACTTGAATTCTCAGAGGTGCAAAATCTGAGGGTTTGCAGTCCTGACCCAGGCCATTAGTGTTCCCTGCAGGGTTCCCAGCAGACTCAAGAAGGGACGTACCCAGCTTTAGGAGCCAGCCTTCACGGTCTGGGTTGAAGAAGGTGTGGGTGAGATCATTCCCATCATCCTCAGGGATCTTGAAGGGCTCATTCCGGATGCTGTCGTAGAGGTTCTGAGGGGCAAAAACAGGTTAGGAACTCCAAGCCCCTGAAACTTCTCAAGGGACAGGGAAATCATCAATGTGTCATTCATAGGAGAAAGAGGTCAAACTGGGAGGAAGGGGAAACAGAAAAGAGTAGAGATGAGAAGAGTGAAGAAAAAAACATGAAGGGATAATGGTGGGAAACCCTGTTATGTTCTCAGAGATGATGGGAGAGAGCAAGACCCAGCGGAGCCTGAGAGGAGACACGTGTGAGGGCCATGGCCACACCACAGTGAGCAGCCAGAGCATCCAGGGACTGCAGACCCTGGAGCACAAAGGGTGGGGAGGCTGGGAACAGCACTGACCCTGAGCAGATCCTCAGGCAGGTCTCCGCCTTCATTGATGCCCCGGTTCATGGCCACAAAGCGCTCCAGCCCTGGCTTGTCCCTGACATTGGGATTGTGAAGGCTGGTGTTCAGCATGATCACGGCAAAGGATAACACATAGCAGGTGTCTGCACCAGATAAAATAAGGTAGCTGGAGATGACCCAGGACCTTCCCGAACTCTGTCCCGTAGCCTCAAAGTCTGGGAACCCAGATCCCAGCCTCTTCCCTCAAACCCAGTCAGATTCCAGCACTTCTCAGACTATAGTATAGGTTCAGGCCTTGTCCCTGGTCCTACCTGTAGACTGGAAGACACCAGGGTTACACAGGCAGTATCGCTGGGCAAAGGCCTCCATCATCCGGTCAATTTTCTGAGCCTCTCCAGGGAGGCGAAAGCTCCATAGGAACTGCCTGGTTAGGGGAGGGATGGGGCAGGCTCAGGTTTCAGGGTTGGAAAACATTCTACTTTCTTAGTCTGTCAGAACCGGACAAATCATTATCCAATCGGATAAATCACACACCATTGCCCAGTGTGGTGACACACACCTTTAATCCCAGCACCCAATAGGGAGAGGTAGGTGGATCTTTGTGAGCTCAGGGCCAGCCTGGTCTACAGAGTTCCAGGCTAATCAGGGCTATACAGTGAAATGCTGTCTCAACCCCAACCGCTCCGCAAACAGTCAGAATCCAAATCTCTTGCCCCAGCCGCTGTTTCAGTAGGCATGTAATTTGATCTGACCAGTAGGTTCTAGCCATGGATTCTGGTGGCTCTGCAGTGGAAAAGTTTTTTTTCTACCCCGAGTTGGCTAAACTCAGGTGCTTTGGCAGTCATGTAGGAAGATTCACTGAACACACCAAAACAAAGCCTGAAGGAGACCCCCCAGCTTGTTTACTGGAGTCAGTCACTCCCTGACTGCTGCTCCTTTCTGTTGGAACGGCCTGTCCCTCACCACTGACAAAGTCCCAGCAGGACTTTCTGTTGGAACGGCATGCCCCTCACCACTGACAAAGTCCGGGCAGGTACATTTCTGCCCCATTCTCACCGCAGGGCCTGCACCAGATTGAGGTCGGTGAACTCATGCAAATCCACAAAAGCATGGAGCACAGATAGGTTTAGCTCTTCCCTGGAGGGAGGGAGGGAGGGAGAGAGAGTCCTATCAGGAGGAGTGACAGGAATTGTAGCAGTATCATCTCATTTACTATGCCATCCTCCCGCAGATGAACCTGCTCTTGTAGCTTGTCACATCTTTGAGTACACAGACCACCCGATGTCATCTTGCAACTGCTCTCACGCTCCCCAGATGCCTTTATCTCAGAACTGACCTTTGTCTAAGAATTCACAGGCAGTTCCCAACTGCTAAGCCGCACTCACGTCTACAGGTCTCCAAACACTTGCAGCTCTGACCCATGATAAAGACTCCCAGACAACACTTTCCAGATGCTAACTTGTATATGCGTGGCTAAGCCAATGACACTCAGACTTCAACAGTGCCCTTTCTAACCGGATGAATACAGGTCCCCCAGAGCCAGTCAGTCCACTGTATCATGACCCAGGTGGAGGCCACAACCCTGCTCTACCCATGAGCTCCTACGGAAGCTGGGAGCACTACTGCACAGGCCGGGCGGCTCACCTTTCCCCGAGGTAATCCCCAATGGCTGTCTTGTTCAGCCCCTCACCCTTGTACAGGAAGCGGGCAATCTCCTCAGGTGTGTTCTGAAGAAGTTCATGTTCCACCAAGAATTGGATCCCCTGGACGGAGAATGTCAGATTTACGCCAAGGCAAAGACTGCGGCTGCTCCCCATGAACCTCAATATCTAAGCCTCTCCACCCTAAGAGAGCACGGCCAGCTTCAAGCTCGGCTTCTCACAGCTCCCTGTGTATCATCCTAGCCTAATCCCCTCAGCCTCTGCCTAACTGATTCCAGCATGCACAACTGGACCCGGCGAGGAACAGGTCTGAAGACTAACGGGATACACTATACACTGCAGTAGAAAATGAAGCAGACAGCTGTCCATCAGCTGTAAGCATGGCACCCTTCCTTACTGCCATTCTCACCTCCAACTGGGCACCTGCACCTAGGGGGATCCCTTAGAGTAAGGCAGGGTCTTACAATTCCCAGCATTGCCCAGCACAGGGCTGGGCTCCCAGAGGCCTCAGTCCATGGACATTCGTGGAACAGATGGGCAGGGATCAGGAGTCTTGCCTAGAGGAAACCTATTATCTTAACACTTCTAGAACCTAGGATATCAAAACCATGCCTGAATCTCTGCTCGGCTAACCCACCTTCTTGGGGTCCATGTTGAACTTCTTCCTGCCCATTGCCATCTTCCGGTTCCGCTGCAAGGTCTTACTGCAGAGGCAGGACGGACAGCAGTCAAGGGTCAATACTTGAGCATACAAGGCCCTGGCTAAGCCGAGTCCTGTGAGCTCACCAGGCCTCACCTGCCCTCGTTGGCCTCCAGACCCTCCACCTCGCTCATGGCTTCGCTGAGCTCCTCTCGCAGGCGCTGGATCTCCACCAGCAGCTCCTGCTTGCGACGTCGGATGTTCTCTAGCTCCATGCGCTCCTCCGGAGTCAAGTCTGGGGGCTCTAGAAGTCAGGGTCAGGAAATGAGTTCTGGGGGCCAGGGTTAAGGCTCGGAGCCTGGATTCCTATCCAGGAGAGTAATAGCTACTAGAGCGCTTAGGGAAGAGGGAGTAAGACCCTGAACCCTCTGTCTGGGGCAGAAGGGCCTGGGAATCTCATCTCTTAATAGGTCTGGGGATGAACTTCTGGGCCCATTACTTGGAAGGATGGAGCCCTGGCTCCATCATGAAGGCGGGGACCTAAATCCTGGGTGTATTACTTGGAAAGGAACCAGGCCCTGGGCTCCTGGACCCATCACCACAGTTAGGAACTCTTGGGATGGAATTCTGGATGCTTTACTTGGATGCCCTGGTTCCTTGGTTCCATCACAGTAGAATGGGAGGCTTGGATATTGAAAACATTACTTGGAAGGACACAGTGCTTTGGGCTCATGGCTCAACCATCACAGGGGCCTTGGGGCCCTGGGATCCTGGACCTTGGGTGCATTTCTTGGAAAAACACCAATACTTTGGTTCCTGGGCCCACCACGGTGGGGACCCTGGCATGGACCTTGGGTACATTTCTTGTAAGGGGGCCGGGTCCCTAGCTCCATAATTGAGGGAGAGTTGGGATCCTGAATCCTGGGTGCCTTTCTTGGAAAGGAACCGAGGTTCCGGCTCGTGGCCCCGTTGCCTGAATCTTGGGTACTCAGTGAAGACAAGCTAAGACATCAAGATCGTGGGTCAGGGTCGGCAGGGGAGGTCACAGAACCAAGGTTCGCGGCCGGGAAGGCAGGCCGCGGCTCGCGCGGGTGTACGCCCCGCCCCGCTCCCGCCGCCCCGCCCCGCCCGCCGCCGCCGGAAGAGGGCTCGGCCCAAACAATGGCCCGGGACCCCCGGCTCTCGGCCGCGCCGGAAGCCCGTTCCGCGCGCGGAAAAGCGCCTCGCTACCACCGCTCGGCTGTCCTTGCTGGGCTTGGGAGCCACTCCGCCCTCCCGCCTCGCCCGGCCTACCGTAGACACCGTCCTCCATGGCGGCTAGGAAAGCCCGCGGGGAGTCCGGGGCGGTTCCGCCGGCTGGGCCTGCCTCCGCGTCGGCCCGCGGGCTCGAGTGAGCCCGCTCAAACGCCCCAGGAGCCACCGCCGCCTCCTCAGCGCCCGTCCTCAGCGCCGAAAAGACTCTCCCTTCACGGCCCAACCGCCCGGCCGGTGGGGCCCGCCCCTCGCTTTGACACCACCCAATCCGCTGCGGGTCTCCCAGACTGCTCCGCCCCCAGCGCCACAGGATCATTTCCAGGACCAATAGACACACAAGGAGCGGTTGCAGGCACGTCAGCTGGCGATGGACTGCTAGAGTGACCAATCGAAGTGCGCCCGGGGGCTTGGTCCCGCCCCCGAAACAAAGGAAAATCCTTGGCAGCTTTATCCTCCAATAAGGAAACCCAAAAGGGAGTGAGCAGGAGATGGGGATTCGTGGAGCCGGAAGGATTGCGCCTGCGCACCAGCCAGACTAGGGCGGCCTACCCTTTTTCAGAAATTCGTTGTTAGGGGGTGGTATTTGATTAGTCTTGTTGTCAAGGGCGGGGTCTCAACCTTGAGTTGTTTCTGGAACCACACCTCCAGGCCCTCCACGCTAGCTTTTGACCGCGGCGGTTGCCAAGCAACTGGGAGCCACACAGCCCTGTCTTTTGCCTCCTTTCTCAGGGTGCTTCTGTCTTCAGGCGGTTTGCTATCTCTGAACTCCTTCCGTAGCACCTCATGTGACTTCCTCCACACCTCACTCTCCTCAGCATCAAAGGAGGGTAAATTAAGGCATTATCCCTTCCAAACCTATTGGGTACCATGAACACACGGGCCTCCCGGTCTTCCAGACTCTTCCTCTCTCCTAAACTCTCCCTCTCGGCTTCCTCCTCCTGAAATCCCGCCCTCCCCAGACATTTGCCCAAGACAGCCCTCTTCCCTCAGAGCCGTCTCCTACGTCGCCTCTCTTGGCAGCTCCCCGGGCCTCTGTGCTCAGGGTCCCCTTCTACCCAGCCTTTTCAGTCCTCACACGCCTGCCCTTCTTAATCTCCTCCCTGCTCTCAGGATCCGTCTTGCTTTGCAGGGAAAGCAGTGAGGGTCCTGTCTGTGACGGGGACTCTGGCATACTTGTAAATCACAGGCCCACGAAGGGGCTGATGTGACTTCCAAGTCTTGTCCTCATTTGTGTCCCCGGGCTGCACAGGTGGGGAGGGATTCGGGGCCAGGACTTGGTTAAGCCTTTGGATTAGTCACAGAGCCTCCTCATCCCCTCTCTGACCTTTACGAGTGATTCTGACCCGTGCCCTCCCCTGTGGAGACCTGGCTGCTCAATCCTACCCCACCCTCTACACCCCAACAGAACCACTTGCCCTGCCCCTTCACCCCAGCTGAGCAGTCTTCTCCACTGTGGTCTCCAGCACCCTGGTCCCGCCCTGCCCTAGACCGGCGGGTGGGAGAGCTGCCGGCTAATTAATCCTGTCCGGTTATTACCTGGGGATTCTGAAGGATAAAGCAGGACGAGAGCCAGAGAGGGCATGGGTGGGTGGATTCAGCACTCAGGCAAGCCGGTGCCAATGCTGTCTCTAGGCTGGGAACACGGGAGAGGACACTTCCTCCTCCTGGCAGCTCCCCTCATGCTGGCCACCAGCCTGCTCGGCACTTAGGTGACTGTTCTATGGCTGAAGACCAGCGTTCCAGAAGCACAGGCTGCAGCTCCTGAGCCTCCGTTACAATGACGGGGCTCCCCTGAGAATTCCACTTTTCTCACGGGGAACATAACCCCGGAGCTAACAGCTGCCCCTTCCAGCCCCAGCCCCTGACCTGGAACAGGGAGGTGGTGACACTGACCCCTGGTGATGAACCATGCCTCCTCTTGCTGGTCCCATAATCTACATACGACATGGAACCAGCCATCAAGTCAGCGTCCCCCCACAACTGCCCCTGGAAGGCTGTGTGCTTCAGTGTGAGAGTGGGCACAGGAAACATTGGGACCTGCACTGTATCCTAGCCCCCATCAGGTGGAGGCCATCCTGCTTGGGAGGACCTTGGAGAACTTCATGCTCCAGTGGCCGTTGTTCCAGAACTGCAGCAACACAAGGAGAGGGTTGCCTACAGCCCTGAATTACGTGGAGCTGCTGGGATGTAAAGTAAGGCTTCCAAGATCTCTGAAAGGGGCTTCAGTTGGCTTGACTCTGTTCACATCTTACTACAGGGACCAACAGAAAAGATAGAGATCTGTATTTATATCATATATAGTACACATATGTATAATATCCTTGAGAAACAGACACACATCACTAGGTGTAGTATTCCAGAGTATTTTAGGCTCATCAGCCTCGGTCTCTCCCTTCCCTTGCCCCTAGTTAGCCCTGTGACCCTCTAGGCTGAGGCTTGCAAGCTCCGCCCAGAAGAGTGCCTCCTAGAACTACCAGGCTGTCCACCTGAAGGTGACAGGGACATCTAGGCTTTGGGAAAGGACAGCCCTGGGCCCCTGGCGCTTTGATTCCTTTTGGCATTACAGAACCTCAGGAAGTCACCCAAGGTCACGGAGGTCCTGGACGCTGCTGGGCAGAGTGGAGCCAGCCAAGCACAGACATCGAGACTGCTACCCAGACTCTGACCCAACCTTGAACCATGATGAATCCTGATTCCTTTGCATGTTCTAAGAATGGCACTTCAAACAGAAACAAAATTTACCCTGTGGATCATGGGCAAGCTAGACTCTCCCCCTCAGCTGGACCCTAACCAGCCAGTACTCCAGAGTTCTCCAGCGTCAGGAACCTCATCTTAGTCCTTCCAAACTTACACCTACCAATGTCCTCAGTATTCTAGAGATAGCTTTGTAGTTTCTGGAGCAGTTCCACTCTCTAGCCAGCCTGTTCTAGAATCCCCAGTGTCAACCTGGACTCAGAGAATCTCAACTCCTGGAGTTTCTCAACTCAGGGTCTTTTCTTCACACACAGTCCAGTCACCGTTCTGTCTTCTGTCAATCATGATGATCCCGAATCCTTGGCATACTCTCTTCCCCCTGAGGGCAGCAATCCTCATCACTTGAGTCTTAGTTTCTTCGCTTGTGTAAATTGACACTTTCCACCCAGCAGCTGTGTCTCTAATGAGAATCCCGCCTCCATGCCTCGCCTCTTGCACAGTCCAGAGATCTGGATCCCTCAGTTCTGGTAAGACTCAGGACTCCAGCTCATGGGGGCGCCTTGAGAGTCAGAATGCAGCAGAGAAATGAAGGTCTGGCATTGTCTGTGGCAGACAACCTCATGGTTAACGGCTGTCCCAGCAGGCCACTGGTCTTTAGAAACCCTGCTCTGCTCCCAACAGAGGCTGGGAGCTCTCCACCCCTGTCACCTTTGGGAAGGGGAGTCAGATGGGGAAGTGGACCTCAGCTGTGTCATGGAGGCAGGGTCAGAGCCAGGGTTGGCGTAAGAGCTCGGGGGCTGGCAGCCCTATCTGGGGTCTCTGATGAAGTCCCCTCCTTAGCGTCCTCATCCTCCTCCTCTTCCCGGCAGCAGCTCAGAGCAAGTTCATTCTCATAACAAAACGCAGCGAGGGAGCCAGGAAAGCTTGACTTAGGGCTGTGGGAAGCCTGCTCGGCCCGCTCGTCCAGCTCCTTGGCACTGCAGACTGGTGTCCCTGGGACCTCGTATGTTCGATGGAAGTGGCGATAATCAACCTCATACTGAGAGCCTCGCTGGAAGAGGACCGGCTCGAAGCGGTGGCCCCAGAGCAGCTCACCCGGGAGGTAAGATGAGCGGCACTGGGTAGTCATGGCTGTGGCCTCAACCATACCCTCCAGAATAACCACCAGCTCAAAGTCAGCCCGGGCCAGCTCCGCCCGCCCCAGCTCATACAGCGGACTGGCGGAGTCGATCTCGTGCACGATGGTAATGGGGGACACGAGGAAGATGCGATCAGTGCCTCCGTCAAAGCCAACGTCCACATCCTGGTGGTCCAGCGGGATGTACTCACCCTCTGGGGTCACGCGGGGCTGCGCAGAAGCGAGAGGACAGAGCCAGAGAGTGAGCAAATACTGCAGGAGGAGGGATAAAGACCCAGAGAAAGAACAGAGCAGCAAGGGAGGTCCCAGAGAAAGAACAGAGCAGCAAGGGAGGTCCCAGAGAAAGAACAGAGCAGCAAGGGAGGTCCCAGAGAAAGAACAGAGCAGCAAGGGAGGTCCCAGAGAAAGAACAGAGCAGCAAGGGAGGTCCCAAAGAACAGAGCAGCAAGGTGAGGTCCCAAAGAACAGAGCAGCAAGGGAGGTCCCAGAGAAAGAACAGAGCAGCAAGGGAGGTCCCAGAGAAAGAACAGAGCAGCAAGGTGAGGTCCCAGAGAAAGGGACCAGACACCCCGGGGTGGCCAGAGACTCAGGAGCAAGGGGAAGACAGTGAGATAGAGACCTGGGGAGGAGAGGGATAGAGACTTGGAGATACAGGGGCCCAGAGAGAGGGACATGGGACATAGATCTGGCTCCAACAGGAACTATACTATGCCACGTCTGTTTGAGGCAGCAATGCCTCTCTACCCCCCTGAGTATGGGTTTGAGCCCATTGAGATGTGTGTGTTATCCTAGATCCTGGGAGTTTTGTCTCCTACTTACTGTTCTATGACTGTCTTCCAGGCTGTGTCACTACCTCACAGACCTCTGGAAGAAGTGTCCCTTGGGTCATCTTGGTGTTTCAAAGGGCTAGGAGGAGCTCAAGTATTATGGAGATTTGTTCTCTGTGACCCAGAGGCTTCTGGGAGCTGCACTTCCCACAATCACTTACCCCTCTTCTGGCCTCAAGTGCTGTCTCCACTTTGCCAATGCTAACTGCAGCTCAACAGTTTGTTTGGAACCCAGATGCTTGAGCAATGCAGCCCCCAAGTCCAGGAGTACCAAGGCTCCTGTAGCAGGGCCCGGAGGAGGCTGCTACCCCAGTGGCTGGTGAGAATGGCTTCCGTGGCCTGTTTTCCAGCCGTGGTGCTGTACTCTGCTTTCCTTTCTCCTGGTAACCGCAGGCAGCGGCAAGGCCTCAGAGTGCCCCACACCCACTAAACTCCTCTCAGGCTGCTGCATAGGGACCTCCCTGCTTTCCAGCTGCGGGGAGCTACCAGAAGGAGCGATTGGGAGCAGGTGTGGTTGCCCTCTGTCTAGAGCACTCAGGAAACTCCTGTCAGGCAGCCTCCAGGCCAAGAAGCTCTCAGGTGTTCTACGCCCTCAAGCCCGGGTTTCCCGGAACTTGCCTCCTGGTCTACCTCTCCTGCAGGCCAACAGTTCTGCTCTTCAAGGTGCTGAAGAAGATACACCTCGCTTCTTCCCACATCCTGCAACGGGCCCTCCCTTAAACACAAGCACCCGCACCCCACATCTGCGGTAGCTGAGCCTGCCTCCCCAGCCCCCAGCAGCCCCCTCACCTGCAGCAGCTGGGCCCGCACGTGAGCCTCCACCAGGTGGCTACGGCGCAGGTTGCCCACCCGCCACATGAGGCAGAGCCGGCGGTCTCGCAGAGCCACCACTGCGTTTTCGCTGAAGACCAGTGTCTCGTTGCGTTTCTTGGGCTTGGCCATCTTGGCCATGACTGCACCCACGACGAAGGCGTCGAGCACACAGCCTGCGATGCACTGCAGCACCACGGCGGCCACAGCAGCCGGACACTCCTCAGTGACGCTCCGCACACCGTAGCCTATGGACGTCTGTGTCTCCAGCGCGAAGAGGAAGGCAGCCAAGAAGCTGGCCACCTGCGAGAAGCAGGGTGCCGGTGGCGGCGGGGCGGCCAGGTCGCCGTGCAGTGAGGCGATGAGCCAGAAGGTCAGGCCGAAGAGGAGCCAGGAGGCGAGGAAGGAACAGGAGAAGAGCAGGCACATCCAGCGCCAGCGCACGTCCACACACGTGGTGAACAGGTCACTCAGGTAGCGCGCGCCCTGGCCGCCCAGATTCACGAAGCGCACGTTGCAGTGCCCATCTTTTTTGACGAAGCGCCCGCGGCGCCGGCTCCCAGCCACAGGCCCGGGCGCCCACCCATTGCGGCACAGCCCGGCCCCCGCCTCCTCCTCATCGCCAGCTCGGCTGTCTCCTGACTCCAGCGCGCCGCTCAGGCGGCGCAGGGCCCTGGCCAGGCCCATTGAGCGGGGAGACCCCCCTCTACTTGGCCTAGCGGGGGGCGGGCGCCCCAAACCTGTAGGAACAAAACATGGGCCAGAGCGTCAGGGGTATCAGGAACCAGGGTCCACCGGCCATGACACATAAGGACGAGCTATATGAAACTTGTGTATAGCTGCAACTGACGTGTAATGCTGTTATGAAAAACGCCAACTTGGTGGCTTAGACTGCTGTGAGTACTGTATATGAACTTAGCACATTTGTGGTTTTGTTTTTGAGATGGTCCTGGTGTGGAACACACGGGGACTCCTGAACACTAGGCAATGCTCTGCTATTGAGCCATGCATATCCCTAGCCCCTTACTGGTAGAGAGTAGTCAAGTGCTCTACCACTAAGCCATGCCCCTAGCACCAAGAAGTTTTGAGATAAACCATATCATTTTACAGATATAACCTGCTTAAGACCACAACTACTCAAGCTTTGAATACTAATACTTTAGCACCTGAGTCCTTGTTGGTGCTTACCAATACTAAGCCTCAGGAGAAAAAAAAGCCCCAGAAGTGACATTGTGTGGTGTACATACGGCAATTCTGTCACTCGAGGCTGATGGAGAAGCATGGAGGATTTGAGGCCAGCATGAGCTCTGGAAGGCCCTGACTCAGATAGGTAACAGGATTCTACCTGGCAGAAAAAAAGAAACTAGGGACAAATGTCAACCAATATGAACCGTGCCTTTATTGAGGCTATCTTCTTATGAGCTCAAGATCCTTACAACTAGGCAATAGTGGCATACACCTTTAATCCCAGCATCCTGGAGGCAGGTGAATCTCTGTGAGTTCAAGGCCAGCCTGGTCTACAGAGGGAGTCCAGAACAGGTAGGGTTGTTAACACTGAGAAACCCTATCTTGGAAAAACCAACTGCTCCTGCCAAAAATAGAGAGATCTTTGCACCTCAGTCCCTGGAGTAGGTGGGAACACAGGCCATGTCAGGCATGGATGTTCCTCAAAAACATTTTAAGTGGGAGCATCCAACTCCAGTTATTACTCGGTTTCCTGTATTTCCGTCATCTGTACCCAATGAACTCAGCCAAATCAGACTGAAAGTAGTGTTCTTTACAGTGTACATGCAACCCTTTTACACTTCAGTATTCCCTGAACACTGGGAGGACAAAGCATCGCAGTGTTCTGTGTTAGAATCTGGAGGTTTTTTTTTTTTTTTGAGACAGGGTTTCTCTGTGTAGCTTTGTAGACCAGGCTGGCCTGGAACTCAGAGATCCACCTGCACTGCCTCCCGAATGCTGGGATTAAAGCTGTGCACCACCAACATCCAGCCTAGAATCTGGAGATGTTTATTTTTGAGACAAAGTTTTCACATAGCCCAGACTGACCAAGAACTAGTCCTCCTGCCTCCACCCTGAGTGCAAGGATCACAGGCCTCAACCACTCCACAGCTATGGAGATGACTCTAAGCATGCAGGACAGTATATGGGAGTTACCTCCATCTGAGAAAAGGAGTAGGTTGGGAAAGGATGTAGGGTTTCCTTCTGGAGTTATAAACAATGTTCTAGTACTATCGGAGTGACAGCTGCTTAACTGTGAATCCACTAAAAATCACTGGACATCCGGATGAGGTTGATGCGTTTCGTGCCTCAGGCTCTCCTTTAACAAAACATCATATACTGATGGGTGAATTATTTTCAAATGAAGCTACTAATAAGTAGGTTCAGCCCTGACCGTCTGATCCGAAGCCACTGCTACCGGGCCTCAGTCATCTCGGTAAGGAAGTGCCTTCTGGTCATAAAGACCCAAGGTCTGCTGGCCATCATAGAGGAAGGTGGATCTCTGTGAGTTCCAGGCCAGCCTACAAAGCAAGACCTTGTCAAGAAAACAACAAAACAAAAACTCCAGATCTGGTCTAGACTGTAACCTAGGATTCCTTTCCTAGAGCTCTGATTTGCTCATTTGAGGGGTGGAGATCAATATCCCTAGCCTGAAAGGGAAGGTGTCTGGAGTTCCCGGGCAGCTCTAAGCTGATGGACACTCATCAGTTCTGACAGTGGGTGTTTCATGGACCTGCCCGAGCCTCAGCTCATAGTGGAGGACAGGTCTGGGCCTCCAACCTTACCTCCAGCTACTACAGAGCTGATGTGGCCCAAGTGTTACTGTTCAGTCTGTGGCTTTGCACACTCTGCAAGCACACTAGACTCGACTCTATGGAACCTTGTTGGCTTCGGTGGATGGACCTCAGTGTTCCAAGTGAGAAGGCTGTGAAGTTAGGCACCTATGTTCCAAGAGTGCCACGCACTTACT